GGGGGGGGTGGGGGGGGGGCTGTACTCATAGTGGTTGCATGCCGTAGTCGTTAGACCATTGTAGCTGGGGCGGGGGGGGGGGGTGTACTCATAGTCGTGCATGCCGTAGTCGTTTGACCATTGACCTCGCATCCCTACAAAGCCGGGACGGAGCACGCCGGGTTCTCACCGGACCAGGCTCTCACATCACCAAGCGCGAAGCGCCGTGAGGTATTTGGCGAGTCGCATGAAGGGTGAGCTGCATCCTGCTAAGGGTGTTCGGCATCTTGTGCTTACTTCCTTGCGTACGGATGACAGCTACGTATGACTTCATTTATTTTCTGGTGCTTTCACTTCCAGAGACAGTTGTAAGCACTGTGTAACTGCCTCGAGGATGCTTGACCAATTTAACACAACGTGGTGCGATCATCCCCCTTGCGCGGAGCGAGGTTTCTCGACCCCGCACAACATGATCTACTCGACCACCATTATGGTTACCGCCAAAAAAAAAAACGAGGTAAAAAAAAAAACGGTAACCTGGTTGCCGAGTTCACGAAGTGAATTGGCTTGTTTTACAACGTCGTTGCCAAGCGACGAAAACCCAATCCCGATGGCAAACACCGACGGGGGGGCTTGTTTTACAACGTCGTTGCCAAGCGACGAAAACCCAAATCCCGATGGCAAACACCGACGGGGGGGCTTGTTTTACAACGTCGTTGCCAAGCGACGAAAACCCAACCCCGATGGCAAACACCGGGGGCGGCGACCTCGCAGGGCAGGGTAAAAAGCAGAGACCCAAGTCCGTGCATGACGGGGTGCAAGTTGTGGCAATACCAGGGCATGTGCAAGCGCTAGGGTTTCATGTGGCGTGGCGTCCGGATCATGAGAACCAGACAGGAACCTAGAAAAAAGCAGAGAAGCGAACTGCACTGCACTGCACGAAAGTGACGGGAAATGAATCCAACATGTCCTTCCAAAATCACTGCGTACCTGACCCTAGCTTGGAGACCATATTCTGCTGACGCCGTCGCCGACAGCGCCCGGTCGCTCTCCTCGCGCACCGGGCAGTACGTGGCCTTGGTGTCCGTGAAGGTCAGCCGTTTCGAGAAAACCGCCTGCTGCTTCTTGGGAGCTCCCTTCCGGCGAGTGGGAAGAAAAAACGGCAAGTGCAAGGAAGACGGCCCCGATAAAAAAAACATGCTGAGGCGTCACGTCATCCAGCAAGATTGTGCGCGGAACTCGAACCAGGCTGCACTGGCGAGCACGCGGGAGCGGGTGTGTGTGTGTGTGTGATTACGAGCATTCGGAGATCACCTCTGTTGGTGGTGTGCTCCGATGCACCAGCTGTTTACCCACGGCTGTGTCAGCAGCAGTCTTGGGTTTACCTTCGCATACTCCTAAAATACAAAACTGACCTCCTTCCCCCAGTCGCGAAGAACCACTTCACGGCGCCCCCCGAGCTGGCCGGGTACGTCTAGGGACAGGAGTAGGGCCATGTCGCTGTCGGCGTTGCCACAGAAGGTCAACCGGATCTCTAGGGGGTCCGCAGGCAGGGGTACGTCGCAGCTGCATGAGGCGATCGCGGATCGTAGAAGCACAAGTCAGTCGGCGGCGGAGGCAATGTGTGTATGCAGCAGCGCAACGTGTGTTGCAAAGACCGCAGGGGCGGGGAGAAAGGTTACGACTAGTTGGTTGAGAAAGGTTGGTGTCTTGAATGTGACGCACTACGTCACCGAAGGAATTCCAACAAAAAAACATACCAAAACAAAAACACGCGAGAACAACGGTCCCCACCCGCCCCCCCCCCCCAAAAAAAAAAACTCACGGCGCCCACCCAATCACCACCATCACCTGTAGAGAGGGAAAGAAGCCGTGGCTTTTTCGTTCAGGACGCCCGTGAACCGCAACGAGGAGGTGCCGTCGAAGCTCTCCGCGAACGAGTACGTCGCTCGAATCGTGCCGTTCGCACCACCCTTACGGTTGGGCGAGAACGTATGGAGGCACATTCCGGGGAAGTGTCGCACATACAGGGGAGGGGTACGCGTTTTGTGGGATGGGTGGGTTAGTCGATTCTGTCGTCTTTGTTACGTTCTTTGTTTTTTTTTGTTTCCTTGGACCTTATTGGTGGACAAGACACGCACCGTGGCTGATATGGCGGACAGAGCTTTTCTCCTGTTCTATTGCAACACAAACCAAACGCAATAGATTGGGTCAACGATAGAGACGGCGACATCAAAAACACCAGCATGCACACCAACAATCGCAACGACGACAACAAACAGCACAAACGTCAAAGGCGGTGTGCCACGATGAGGCACACTTCTTCTCGATCCCACGTTGCTGTCGAGAGTGGACACAGTCGATGTCTCGTTGGGGACAATTCAACCCTCCTGAAAAAAAACACATCCAAGAACATTTTTTGTCCCACCTGAGAGTCACTTGAGTCTCCCGCACGCCTAGCCTTCACCACGTCCGACCGCAACCCCCCATTCACGGGCCCCCCTCGCCCCCCGACGAGGGGGGTGAGGCACTGGGACGCCAAGTCGTAGAACGCTCCTCCTACGACCAAGCGATCGTCTTCGTCATTGTCTGCGTCGTTATCGCCTTGCCCTTCGTTTTTGTCTCCTTCGCCGGTTGCATCATCATCTGTTGCTGCTGCTGCTGTTGCTGGGGGGGGGAGGGGCGTCGTCGGCGGTACGAGTGTGTCATGACACCGACATTGTAAGCTCTCTCTCTCTCTCTCTCTCTCTGTGTGTGTGTGTCTGGTCGTCTGTAAAAAAAAAAGAGGGTGTCCGATCTGCTGGACGTCAGAGAAGTACGGCGCTGTCAACGACTCCTCGGAACCGACGCCTACAGCAGGAAACCTCGACCCACACAATACACAAAACGCTCGCAATCGGTATGTGTGAAACGTCTAGTACAGCGTACCTAAACATGCAGCAGGACCAGACCGCTACACTGCTGCCTTAGGAACGATATGAAAACAAGGCATGGCGTCAAAATCTCTTATCTGAACGTACCAGCCGCCCTCGAAGCTCGAAACACGGCCACTTCCTCCCCCCGAATTCTCCAAGCGTTTCCCAGGCCGTGGCCAAAGTTCACCACCAGGGGCAGCAGCGGAGCCCCCCCCCTCCCTCCGCCCGGCAAGCTTCTCGGCGGCTGCCACACCGCCGCAATCTTGCTCCAGAACTCGGTGTCGATTTCGCTGAACTCCTGCTCGACTTCTTGCCACCCTCCTCGCCCGGGATCTGGGTCGACCCGTCCCCCGCCTACGATGACGGGGAGGGGGGGGGGGGGGGAGGGCAGGACACACAGGGAAAACGCACGTAAGGCTAGCAATAAAGCAGGTGTGAGAGAGCTGTCTTCCATTGTCTTGTTTCTTGGAGAAAATACGCGCTCGACCCCAGAGGGGTGTAAGCTGACGTAGGACGCACGGGGCTAAGCGCGAAAAAAAGCAAGAGAGACATGTAAAAGGCAGCTTCACCCGGCTAGTAATAATAAACGGGGAACCAAGAGTAGTGTTACACCCGATAGCTCGAATGATGGCTGGGTAAAACCAATACACACCTGCTCAGCACCTTCTCCTGGCTGCACACAACGCACGGTTTAGCTCGTTGGAGATGACGGTGGGCTGCCGTGGTAGCAATACAAGATCGGACCATGGGCTACCGTGCCACGATATGTACGATCGCACATTTGCAACAAACGTCCAAACCTGTGGTTTCCTCCTCCATGGTCCAGGCAGGCGCGAAGAGCGCCGCGGAGACTCCGGCCCTTCTGATCTTACCCAGCGCCTTGTCCACGTCGAAGCCGCCCCCACCCCACGTCCCGCGGCCGAAGGTGTCGATGCCCATGTACACATCGTAGCTTCGGAAGGCAAAAACATAAATGCGCACGCACATCGACAGGGGTGATAGCTCAGTACTAACCGTCTGAGCTAGCATTTTGTTGCTGTCGTTGGAATTTCCGCGAGGGTTGGAGGCGTACCATACCGAGGCAAAATCTCACAAAGTCATGCCATCCCGCCCCCGACAAAAATGATCCTGACCCTGTGCTGCTTACTGCAAAGGTGAGCACATGCTTTGACTTCAAAAATCGAGATGTGGGGCACCGAGGGTCTGCGACGGCCGTGTTGCACACAAACCAAGCATCGCAAACTGTAAATTACTAAATTACATCTCTCCAGCTAAGAAGACGTCATCAAGCTAAAGGCCAACGCCGTGGTTGTACGCACCGCCTCGCCTGGGCCTCCAGCGCGCAGGCGGACGGGTAGTCGGCCTTCCAGGCGTAATTGGAGAAGATCCCGTCGCAGGCGTCGAAGAAGACGCGGTTCTCTCCGTTAAGGCGATCCTGCCACTCCAGCTTCCCCTCCACCGTGACGCTGTCGTACCACAGCACCGTCGACCTGCTGTGCCCACCGGCGGTACCGGCGGTGCCAGGTTTCCCATCCTCTGGCCCCCCACCGGATGCTACCGGCGCTGCTGTTGAAGATGATGAGCCCCCGCCAACACTAGTGCTGCCGGACAGGGTGGCCGCGCGCATCTGGGCCGTGAGGCTCCTGAGGAAGTAGGCGAGGACATCGACACGCTCGCCCGGGTCGACCTTGTTCTCGATGTTGACCAGCCAGCCGTCGAAGCCGTGGTCGACCGCGATCTGCGTCAGCTTCGCAGCCGCTCGGTCGGCGGTCTCTTCGGACCGCAGCAGCTCCTCGCCTGCCCGCGCGTGTGCGTGTACACCACACGCATTCATGGGCACAAGCAGCAGCAGCAGCGGCAGCAGCAGCAGCAAAAACAAGGAGGGCATATGACGGTTTCGCAGCAGCGGTCAGGAAAGAGGGACACCCATGTGGCGTGCAATCACGCGGATGTGTGGTGTGTGGTACGCACACAAACACATGGCGGGTGTGGCGGTCCGCCGCCGAGGAACGTTTCGGGCGTGCTGCGATGCCGTCTTGGTGCCGGCGTCCGCTCAAGAAGAAGTCAAGCCGTCCGGGCGGCCCGCCTCATCTCGTTGGCTTGGCGTGGGTGAGAGCTACGCCCCGGCCATGTACGTGACCTTGCTCGAACCAAAGGGGATCCGCACCTTTTTTACTGCTGTGCTGCTGTATCATAGCGTGGGTACATGCGGGAAGCTTCTTCCTCTCCGGGCAAAAGCGCTGCCTATTATTATGAACTCCGTTGGCGCGCACACAGATACAGCAGTTGACGTGCTTGACGCGAGCGAACACCCTTGCGTCCACGACGACGTCGGGGCGTCCATCTCCGTATCTACGGTATCTACGGCATCTACTCCTACGGAGAACGAACCATGAGGCGTTCGCGTGAATAGTGTACCCGCACCTCCAACCGCAGTGCGTGGATCAGTTTGTCACATCTCGTCTGAAGTTGATGGACCAAAACCGGGTGCACACGAACCTACAGCACGTGATGCCTGCCCCACCGATGGAATCTGTTGAAATTTTCCGCAAACAAAGCAATGCGTTGCTTGAACGAAAAGAACTTACACACGTCGTAACCCTTGTCCCACTCGGTGATGAAAGTCCCGAGGACCCGCGTGCCGTGCCTGTGGGCCACGTCGATCCAGCCCGCCGTTGGGATCGTCACCAAGTCGTGACTGCATGATGCGTACATTGACCAAGTGTAGTTGGGTTCGGGATATTGCAGGAGCAAGGTCGAGAAAGGGTCAGATTACGAGGAAAGAAGATACCACTCACTTTGAAAGACCCATAGGTAAGCTCAACGTATAACGTGTGTATGAGCGTGTGCCCGATGACCTCAAGAACGAAACCCAACACACACGCACACAGGCGGCGGGATCCCAGACAGCTCTTCGTGTCGGAGATGCAACACACCTCTTGAAAAACTAACACTACGAGAACACGTTCGACCTCTTATGCATACACGCACGACAGACCCACCTGAAGTACACGAAGATGTCAATCAGCCCCCAGTCGTACGCCCGATACGGCCGGTCGTATCCGCCGCCCTGGACCAACCTGTCCTGCCCGTAACCCCCCGCAAGGTCGTGGCACACCAACAGCCTGCTCTTCAAGGGAGGGAAGGGGGCAGCGACGAAAGGCAGGGGGCGAGCAGGAGCGAACCCCTGGCCCCACCCGGGCCCCTCGTAGCTCAGAAGCTCTCCCAGCGTCGTCAGCGGGAGGATCTCCGGAGATGGAGACGGTGATGGTGATCGTGATGAGGGGGCGCCCTTGGCCCTCCTCGGCTGTGGTTGTGGCAGGATGATCGCTTTCTCTGCACGTGCTGCGGTGGAGGCGGTGGCGGTGGTGGCGCCGGTTCTGCGACCTGCCGCGGTGGCATGTTCTCCTTCCCGTTGAGTTTCCGCTTCTTGCCTGGCACCGGCAGGGCATTTAGCGATCCAATGGCAGCGCAGTGCGGTGGTTGTGGAATAATAAAGCGCGGACAAGGATACGCAGTTTAGTAGACTGGACTGGTAGCAGTGCGGCACAATTCTCGCCTCTCTTCTCTCTTCTGCCTCCTGATCGGTGCCAGACTGGCTTGCTGCCGTCGCAGCAACGTCCAAGCGCCTTTGCGCCAACATTTCACCAAGACGGATGCAGCACCCTTACCTCTCATGTAGGGCCTGTAGCGTGACCGTTCTCTCCCGCTCCTGGGCGGTTGCCCGATACAGCGATTGCCTCAAAAAAGCAGATACTTGCATGAGTTGCGGCCAAATCAACGCGCAAAATATCACGCCCATCAGCAGGTTCGGGATATCCGCCTTGGCCCACTCGAACGTCATGGCTCCTTGTATCCCCACGCCAACTGCTGCCTACAGATGCGGAGTTTGTGCCTGGCGCGATGGAGGTTGGCCGAAGTCGGGGGCGGCGGGGGGTTTGCACGTGAGATCTGTTGGCCTTTTTTTGGCACTGTCACTTTTCTGGCTCCTCGCCTCTCCGCCGCTCGCCAACGCAACCTCCGAGACTCTCCAGCTTTTCAAACACCAGCACATGTCCTTCCTGTACCGCGAGGCTGGCAGGGTCCTCCAAGGGGTGGAGAGCGGCAAGGCGAGCCTAAAGACCCTCACGCTGGGCAGGGCCAACAGCGTTGGGGGCGGGAAAGGAGGCGACGAAAATGGGCCCAAGAGGTAGGTGTGTGTGGGGTGTGAGGCGGCAGCAGGCGGCAATGTGTGTGCGGTGCTACACTGGACTGGGGCGTGCTTTGAACAGACCACGCGTTCCAATGTTGCCGTGGCTGAACTCCACCAGGTTGTTGCCTAGACGTCGCTGTGCTTCACACCCCTGTCGTCGAATGCTACATGCTACACGTCGAGACGGAGAACCTTGGAACCTGACAGTCCCGTGCCCGGACAATAAATTGCTGCTATTTTGCTCCGTGCGTGCTGTGCAAGCAGGAAGCTGTACGCCATGGTGAGCGAGACACTTCGCTACAAGCCGCTACTAGATCAGCTCGTGGTCAAGGCAGATACTACGTGAGCGCATAGCAGTAATTCTAGGAAAATATGTATCCAGCGGAGGCCAACCGTTGACCGCAGATCAAAGGCAAGTGCCGCTGTACGCAGCTGATCGTAGTCCTATCATGCACACTCTCCCCGTTCAACATGGTGTTACGAGATATGTGAACGATGTGTGTTCAGAAACAGATGCACAGCAGTACCAATGCACTCTGACGTAGTCTACAGCAGTCTACAGCCACCTGTTTGCCACTGTTGAATCTCCCACCGCACGTCTCCTGTTCGGCGACCTATGCGGGGTCGGCCAAAAAGTTAAAGCTCTCGCTAGTAAGTTCGCTGGAGCTCCAAGCCTTTCGGCTGCATCTTCCAATGCCGTTCTCGCACTCACGATATACCCATGTACTTCTCTGCGGTGTGGTGATGCACCCACTCGTTACCACGCTGCCATTTTTGGCTTGTTCTGGCAGCTTCTTGGTTCCCGAGTGCGGTTTCTCTCGTCAAGGATTGTATGGTTTCCAAGAAATCGCGTACCACGCACCTCTGCTGTCGTGGCACAAACCTCTCGACCCCTCCCTCCGTTGGCTCGTGGTCTCCTGTGTGCACGCAGAGGCACTCTTTTCTCGGATGAACACATGAGGGAAAAGGAGCAAGGGTACATCATGCTCTATGAAATGCTGCTGGGGAAGGGTTCCATCCAGGGGGGGGGCAAGCTCAAGGTGAGCGATTGAGAGGGAGCTGGTGTGCCACTTAGCGTTGTCAGCGCCATATGCCAACTCAAGCTTTGACGGTGAGGGGGGGATGGAACGTCCGTGTGGTTGACATTTAAATTTGAAGTGCTTGTGTGTACTGCACCGTTCGCGCAAAAAGTAGCCTTCACGATGACCCATGTCGTGCACCATGTCGGCATGCATTGATTGGTGCGTGATTGGTTGTTTGCGTGGAGGTAGGGCTTGTTTTTCTCCGCGCCACCCAAGGCCTGTCGTTTGTGAGGGGTTAGCACGGGGGCTGCTAAGCGTCTGCGATTATGGACAGACGTATGCAGTGTACAACGATTGTTTTCCCTTCAGGGTGGACTCCTTTCAGTCAGTCCCCCTACATAATCCCCTGTGCTCTTGTCCCTCCAACTACCTGGCTAGGTGGGTGCTTACACCTCCAACACAAAACCGCGTTTTCTCCCTGAACGGAAGCGACTTCACAAGCCTCGTATGCCTGCTCACAACAATCCGTTACCGTTTGTTGCGCCAGAGGCTGTAGTACCACATCATTTTTCCAAGTCCACACCGGCCACTCAGCTGTGGTCACACGGTGGCCACAATGCCCGACAGGAGTCTAATAGCAAACATTGAAAACGCTATTCTTTGAAGTGAATTGTGGCACCATGTAGTCGTCCGGACGAAACGTGCGGATCATTTCAAGCTGAGAGTTCGCCGATGCCCCTGCCTTCGCTCTTCGACCCCTCTCCACATGCACAACCACAGCTTCCTCGAATTTTCACGACTCGAGTGCGTTCCTCCGACGCGGTTTTCTTTCTTTTTCGGCAGCGACACCTCATGCAGTACAAGGCGCGCTTGGAGGAGTGTCTCGCAGAGGCGAAGGTTTCGGCGGGATTGTCAAAAGACGCCTCCAACGAGTCTCTCCTCCCCAAGAGCGCCCGGAGACACATCTTCCCGCGGTATGTATGTAGGGACCAGGGCACACAAGACAAGGCAGGCTTGGTGGGGTCAAGTTTGACCGTTTCGCCTACAATACTGTGTTGTTTTTTCGGCGTGTGTTTTTTGGTGAAAAGGACAACAATATAGGGCGGGCGGGTATCAAGAGCTTGCACTTGGTCGTGTTGTTGTACATTTATCCTGCTGTTGGTGTAACTCCTGTTTCATTTCAGCCCCCGTTTCCAGCAAGGTACACGGCCAAAGTGTGCCAAGCTGACGGCCATTGGTGGGAAACCTTCAACGAGGACCACATGGTTGTGATTGTGACCCCGCGCCCTACATGTAGGCAACGAGCGGCCCCGTGACTGTTTTCGCTTTGTCGAACACGTCGCGTGGGTTGCTGCCGTGTGACTCCAAATGTTCCTCCCCCCCTGCTTATATTTTTCCCTGTTGGTGCTGTCTGTTAGTCCGATTCATTCACCACCGTTCGTAGTGGTGCTCACCCTGCTGGTGCGGAACCTATGTAACATGCACCTTTCGGGCCATTTTTGCCTGTGTTGTTGTGTTGATGTTGTTTGGTTTCAGGTACGCTAGGGTTAACCTCGTGGCGTGTCCCGAAGGAGCTAAGGGCGTGGCGGCGGCTCTGCAGAAGGAGGGCTACGCGGCAAAAGTACGACAGACAATATTTTTTACTCACTTTGTTCCAGATTATGTGGTTTCCAAGCCTGCGGTATGATCGCGTTTCCAACTTGCCCCTTCGAACAACTAAGCTCATGTGTCACGCGTACGTACCTACCGGGACCCCCATGTTCAGGTCGACGGCGTCGTGCCCAGCCTGCTGGTGCTGCCACCGGGAACAGACCTGCACGACCACGCCATGGTCAAGGACGGCAGGCTAGTCCTCCAAGGTGCGTGACCCCGTTACGTTGCTGGTGTCAACTAAACGCATCGATTGCCGTCGTCTGGTCATGTGGCTGTACAAGCACCAAGTGGTTCTGTTCCAACCAGCGTATCGTAGGGGAGGGGGGGGGGCTCGTGCTGAAGATGAGGCATGACCAACCCCGGGCGGCCGGGTTTGGCCCCGTGATTGCTCTGCGGGGGGCGGGGGCGGTCCCGGGGTTAAACATAGATTGGGAAAGAGATGCAGGCGCGAGAGTGCCGTGATAGATAGGTGTGACGTGACGTTGTTTTCTAACCCTCCCCTTTGTTGCGGGAGCAATCTGTTCGGCGAGAGCAATCGTCTCAAGGGGACGCTGTGGCCGCCCCCCTCCAAAGTTGTACCACCGTTCACGAACCCGGGAAGCTGGCGGGGTAAGCGGCGGGGAATTGAAGCATTCAGTGGAACCTGAAGGGGCTAGTTCCCGGTGTTGGGAACCAACACACGGCAGGCATTGATTGCGACGGGAGTTAGCCGTTGTCGTCTTTCCGCATCAAGCTTGCCCCGTAACCACAGTAGGTTACCCCCAACGCGTGTGGGCGGGGCCCCATGCTCTTTCGACTCCATCCGACTTGTTTTTTCTTCTTCGGCTGCAGACAAGAGCTCCTGCTTCTCTGCCGAGGCTCTCCTAGGGCAAGAGGCGTGCGCAGCCGCCGGCGCTACCCGGGATGCGAGGGCGGAATGGAGAGGCGGGGACGTCATCGACGCTTGCGCCGCCCCGGGGAACAAGACCATGCACGCGGCGTCCCTGCTCCACGAGCGGGCGAGTGCAGCAGCAGCTGCCTCTGCTGCTTCGTCTGGGGGGGGGTCGGCGGGTGCGGGGAAAGTGGCCGACAGGTTCGTTGATTTGTGTGTGGGCCGGTATCTTATTACGCGGTAGGAGTTGTGCCGATGATGCAGTGTCTCGTGTAGTTCGCCCGCGTGGCCACCTATTCGCCTACCACGGGCGATGAAAATCTTATCAGAGTCCATTCCGAGGAGCGGGGGTTGATCTGCACCGGCCATGCGATATAGCGTCACGTAAAAGTGTCGAGAGAGTACGAGTAGTCTAAACCCTCCCCCCCGTGCCCAAGGGTATCTCGCCGGACGATGCTAACTCGTTCCTCCTCGGTGCATGAACGGGCGGGGTCCGCTTCGAATCCAGGTCGAACACTGGCAAGCGGGCGAAGGTCTTCGCGTTCGACAAGGACCTGCGTCGCCTGGCCCTCATGCGGCGAAGGGTGGACGATTCGGGCGCCTCGGCGGGAGGAGCAATCGAGACACGCCTGCAGGACTTTCTCGAGGTTGATCCCGCCGACAGAAGATACTCGAAGGTCGGTCGGGGTAGCAGGCGGCGCCTCAATCAAGGAACAAGAGAGCTGGATTCCATGTGTACCCTTTTTCGGTATCAGACGGGTGTAGGGTGTAGGATGCCCACTTTCTTCTCATTGGAACTCTCCTCTCGGCATTTCTCCGGTGCCTTCTCTCCCTACCACACGATTGCTCCGGGCCATTTGGCAACGGGTCTGCTCTGCTGGACGCCCCCGCCTCGAATCTAGCGCTCGTTCGAAAAACCGCCTCGTCAAACCATCTGACGACTCGCCAAATTTCTGCTTTGCATAAATATTTTCGATTGAGTGCTGTAGGTCACGGCCATCCTGCTGGATCCGTCTTGCTCCGGTTCGGGAATCGTTTCTGCCCCGGACCGTCTCCACGAGAACCAAGGCGACGCCGATGAGGGCGAAGGGGCCCCGGGGGGTGACAGGGAGGAGGGAAGGTCGCGCGTGGCGAGACTGGCGGCGTTTCAGCTACAGGGGCTCCTTAAGGCCATGTCCTTCCCGCAGGTAGGTGTTCAGTGCGTGCGTGTGTGCGTACATCAGCGTCTTGCGTGTTGCTAGCATCGATCGTCCTAGCCGACTGACCAACGAAATGACGTTTGAGGGGACGGCGCGTGTGAACTGCGCTTCCTTTGGTGTGTGTCTCTTTTGCGGCGGTTCAGCCGTTGTCGTGTGCGACACTCGCTCTCTCTCCCCCCTCTCTCTGTCTGTTTGTCTGTCCACCTGCCGGCGTGCCGCACAACCGCTATACTCCGCCCTTCCATGCATCTGGCGCCCCTGGTTATCGTGAAATGCGACGCGTGTTTTGTGCCGACCCCACCGACAACAGCGGCAGCAACAACAACAATAAACAAATTACCTCCTCGTGTGCCGTGCCCTCCTTCTCCGCCTATGTATGTACAGGTGCAGCGCGTGTGCTACTCGACGTGCTCCGTGCACGCCGTAGAAAACGAAGATGTCGTCGCCAAGGCCTTAGACCAGCAGCCCACACCTTCCCCCCTCACAACCGCCTCCACCGCTTCTGCCTCTGCTGCGGCTTCCTCCGAGCGATTCGAGCTCTCTCGCTGCCTGTCGCGGTGGCCGAGAAGAGGGCTGGCGGTCTCCGGGTTGAGCAAGGCCCAGGCGGCGTGCCTTGCGAGGACAGACCCCTTCGAGGACGAGACGAACGGGTTTTTCGTGGCCGTTTTCGAGCGGGGGGTTAGCAGCAACGGCGGCGTCACTAGCAGCGGTGAATTGGGTAGTGGTGTTTCACCTGGGAGTTGTAGTGGTAATGGTGGCGGGGGCGGTGATGGTGGAGCGGGGGTAGGTGGCAACTCCAACGGAGAACCAGCATCGAAGAAAAAGCGGAACCGTCACAAAAACCGAAAGAAGAATAAAAAGAAGCGGAAGCTAGCGGAGGCAGAAGGGAAGACACAGTCGGAGGAGGCAGAGCAAAAAGAAGGCGCAGCTGAAGGTTGCGAAGAGGGGAATGGGGAGATAGGGGCAGCCACCTCGATAGGGGCGACCACGGAATGACCTCAATCCCGAACGTGCCTAAATAGCGGGGGGTGCACTATTTGCAAAAGCGCAACAAGAGTGGGCGTTTAGCGACAGATGCTGGGCTGGATAGTGTCTTCTTGTCGTGAACGTGTTTCACGTTCCCCCCCCCTTCCCGGCGCGGTCGAGGTTCTTTTTGTACACTTGATAAAGTTGAATGATTTCCTTTTCGTTGTTCTAGACGAAATTGGCCCTGTGTCGCGATGTAATGCATGAAGAAATGTAGATCCAGCTTGCGGCCCCAAAGTTCCGAGAACATGTCGCAGGTCCCGACCGAATAACTCGCTGAGCCAGTTGGTTGACTCGACAACTCGTCTTGAATGTGTGCCCCACGTATGGATTAATCGCTGTGTACACCTGATCTGCGTCCTCCTGTTGTGTCGGGTGTTGGACGGGCGCTAGCCAAGGGACGGTCGTTGTCACTTGTTCCCTGCCCCTTGTTAGAGGAGGTCTACGGCCGGTAGCTCGTGTAGGGGCTGCAAGGAGTTTCGCAAGGAAGCTTCAAACGACCTATCGAGTATGCGTTTTCTTATTGGCGTGGATAAAAAAAAAACTCTTTCAAGGAGGAGCTGGCGAACGACGTCCCCTTTGTTGACATGGGGAGCGCACTTTCAAACGTGCAACGTCGACAACGAGGCAAACGCACGCGCCGTTTGCCGGCCAGTCGCCCGGCGTAGTTGGTAGCCAAAAAACATGGAGAGGGGGCATAGTCTCCGTGGAGCCCGCCATCCACAATCCAGACCAGCCGTGAAGGCTGGTCATCCACGAGCCCAACATGCTTCATCCATCAAGCGATGGCTACAATATTGATATTGTAGCCCTTGATGGTGCTCAAATACGCGTCAGTGGGCAACACCGCCGACAACACAATAGGTCGTACAAGTTCGTGTGTTAAGAGCGAAGTATGCTCTGTCCCTACCCCCCCCCCCCCCCGTCCCCCCCCCCCCCCCCCCCCCTCTTTTTCCCCCCCCCCCCCCCCCTTCCCCCCCCCCCCCCCCTTTCCCCC